GGGGGGGAGCAGGTGCGCTTGTGCCCCATTGGCCCAAGCCAGTGTCATGGCCAAGGCGGGGTCGCCAAGGTATTTGTTAAAGGGGGTGACTGGGGAAGGGTCCCGGGACCTGTTCCCACCCTGCGGCCCTGGCTGCTGCGTTAGCTGGTCCCGGGGGCTGGGAAGGGAGACCGCTGCCCACGGAATATGGGAGAGGGCAGCTCGCGTCCTTGGCGTGGGCATGGTTGGGGGCCCAGCTGGGTCCCGCCAGCGGGGTCAGAGGACAAAAACAATGACACAGGCGACCCAGGGCCACAGGCTGGCGAGGAAACTGCCGCCACCCTCTGCAGGGTCCCTGCTCTGTGCCCACCGGCCTGGAGGCCTCATGGGCACCCAGCTGGGTAGGTGTCATGGCTGGGACGTGAGGGGGCTTAAGTGACAGCCCTCTTCCCTGCCCAAGCTCAGAACGTTTCTTTCTTTAATTTTTTTAAACACATCCCCCCAGCTCTGACCGACCAGCAGGGAGCCCAGGCCAGGGGCTCCCCAGGAGGGTTCCGTCTGGAGCCCCAGGAAAGCGGCGCCCACCGCGGCCTCTGGGAGGGCTGCCGGGCCCGGGCCCCGGCCCCGCCCCTCGGAAGGCGTCCTGTACCCACGCAGCTCAGGACACCCCTGCCGCAGCCTCCAAGTCCTGCTGCAGGAAAGAAGCATCTGATATAAAAATGATGGCTCCCCCGCGCGCACGCCACCCCGAGCCCAGAATTAACGACATTAAATCAGGCCTCATGAATTATGCAGAAAGGTTTGTGGTGTGACACGCGACTGTGAAATATCTCTGATGCCAAGAGGTGGCCCGAGACGTTCTTCCATGGCTGCTGTGACAACGGTCTCCCCCTGACACACGGTAACCGTGGACCTGCGGCTTCAGAGTGGCGTGGCCTTACCCCCCCCCGCCCCCCGCAACAAAGCGCGATTTCCCGGTCGTTTGGCAGCGAGAGAACACGGTTACGTGTTCACGTCTTGGAAAGACACTCGGCGCCTTTCAGCTAAAACAATGATTGTGATGTCGAGATGAGGCCTCTGGGGTGTCTCTGTTGACAGGACGTGTGGGATAAATTGTCCAAACATTCACTTTTGCAGAAATGATGGGGATTTTAGGTGACTCTGGAGAGTAGGCAGGCTGCGGAGACGGTGTCACTAATTCCACAACGAGTGACGGATTCCGTGCAGAACATAGAATCTGGAACAAAGCCTGAGGCTAGTGTACCCCGAAGAGAGCTGGGCTGGGCACCCCGCTTCTGGGGCCAGCTCAGAGGCACAGCTCTGTGACCCGAGGCAAGTCATTCCACCTGCTGGGGGGGGTCCAAATGGGAGGGCTCGGCGTGGGCTGCTGGCCTCCCCGGGGGGCGTGACCGGGCTCACCTCTTCCAGCTTTCTCCCAGTCAGGTACCGGGAAGGGCAGTGTCCACTCTGCAACTCTGTGTGGTCAAGCACCTGCTCTATGCCAGGTGGTGCCCATCTCACAGTTACAAGGACAAGTAGGGTCCACCTCCTGCCCGCAAGGGGCGTGAGGAAGAGCTGGGGAGAAAACAAGCAAAGAAACGCACAAGATAGCCCCGGCCGGTGTGGCCCAGTTGGTCGAGTGTCGTCCGGCGTCCCGAGCCCTGAGAGGTCGCTGGTTCTGTCCAGGTCAGGGCACGTGCCCAAGCTGCAGGCTCGGTCCCCAGGAGGGGGCGTGCAGGAGGCAGCCGACAGACGTTTCTCTCTCTCTCCCTCTCCCTTTCTCTGTCTGAAATCAATAAAAACATATTTTTTAAAAAAGAAAGAAATGCACAAGATACATGTTTTTAGGGCTAAAGCAGGGTGCGCGGGACCCGGGCAGGAGCAGGGAGGGAGGCGAGATGCAGGAGAGTCACGGCACCTCCCGTGTTCTCGCCTGAGCTGGGTGGGCAGCTGAGGGTGGTTTTCTTCCCCCAGATGGGAGGCAGGGTGGGAAGGAAGAGCAGCTCCTGCGTTGGTTTAACAACAAAAAGCTTTCCTGCTTGTTAAACAACAACAGCTGCTTAGGTGGGAGAGAGTCAGTGACAAACTGTCAGAAAAAAGGAAGTGAAAGCGAGTCGAATGTTCGAGCAGCCCCAGGTGGCCGCTGTTACCTCGCTGAGGATGGAGCCTTCCTGTCCCGCGCGGGTCTATAAACTGCTACAGGCTCCCACGCGCTCCGAGCGCCCGCGGGCCGCCCCGGTTAAAGCCGGGCCGGCCGTGGAACCACCAGCTAAGTCGCCGGACAGGCCGGCGCCGAGCTGTCCGCACAAACTGCGTTCCCGTCGGACACGCGGTCGGAGGCGGCCCACGGGCCCGTCGGTGGGAGGGCGGCACGTAATCTGCGTCGGTCCCTGCGACTGAAAAGCGTCCCGTGGCTAAAGCGAAGGGGCTGGATCTGTAGGCTCAGCGTGGCTGCCGAGTGGGAAACGCACGTGTTCTCGCTTGTGTACAATTGGGAAACTCCCCAACCCTATATGTAGTTTATGAATTAACCAGTATTTTTACATTTTGACCAGTATACATAGAAAAAATAATTTTAATGTTAGCCCTGGCTGGTGTGGCTCAGCGGTGGAGCATCATCTCATGCACCCAGAGGTCGCCGGTTCGATTCCCCGTCAGGGCGCGTGTCCGGGTTTCCAGCTCGGCCCCCAGTAGGGGGTGTGCAGGAGGCAGCCAATCGACTCTCATCATTGATGTTTCTCTCTCTCTAAAAAGTAAATAAATAAAAACATTTTTTTAAAAAAGTGAGTAGGAAGCTGACATTCCTCGCAGAGGGGAGGAGCGATAGGGTCTTTAACTCCGTTTGTAATTTTTCTATCTGCACAAAGTATGTCTAAGTGTCCACCTCCAGCAGGGCTGAGCAACTCCCCCAGGACCTGGCCTTTCCACGGACAGCGTCTGTGAACTCTGGACAAGACNCAGGACCTGGCCTTTCCACGGACAGTGTCTGTGAACTCTGGACAAGACAGCAAAGACCCACCATAAGCAAATCAGCCATGACTTGGAGGCACTGGAGGTGAGCACGGCGGCTCCTAGGGGGGAGGCAGCACATGAGGAAGCGCAGGGCACAGATGAGCTTCCGTGACGTGGCTCTGTCTCCAGTAAAAAATCGCCTCGAAGGACAGAGGGCCGAGTTTGGGACAGCCACAGTCCCTGGAAAGGGAGAGGCCGCAGAGGGGAGCCTAAGCTCTGTGCCTCAGCTGTTGGTTAATTGTCTTGCAGTATTTGGCCAGGCTCGTGTCTGTCGGTGCAGGAGGAGGTGCTAACACATATCAGTCCCCTCGTGAAGCTGCTGGTTTAGGGCCACACAGGTGTGGTCAACTGCTAAGGCCAGAGAATGGGCGCCCGTCTGGGAATGGAAGGAATCATGGGTTGCATCTCAAACCCAGCAGCTATGGCTAATGCTGGACACAAGCTGACTTTGGAACCTCTGCTCTCATTTGCACGCATGCGCACACAGGCATGTGTGTGTACATAGAGATACACGTGCACATGCATGCGCAGTGTGCTGGTCAATGTTTAACCACTTACTGACTCCCTAGGAATATAAAGCCCTTGTTTGTAGCACTTGCCAATTGCTGCGGTGTAAATACTCCCACGTGGCCAATCTCAGACCACCCATGTGAAGTCACGGAACGTGGATTTGGAAAGAGATGCACACAGGGACTCCCTGGGGCTGTTGGGAGCCAGCTCCAGCACCAGCACCAGGGGTGGCCCTTCCCTGGCCCAGCCTCCCCTCCACTTCCAGGCAGCGTCCCTGCCTTGCTGGAGCCTCACCGTGGAGACCCTGGGAAGGCTCCTCTCGCTGACTTACCCCAGGTGTGGGGGGAAGCTGGGGCAGAACTGTAATCACACGTTCCCTGCGGGAACCAGCCTTCCTTGGCCGTATTCTCCCACCGCAGGAAACCGCCTGCCACTACTGGAACCAGGAGATCTCTGCCACTTGGCATCAAAATCGTACCTGTTCGCAGCTGCATTGCCCTGCAGCTGGGTGGGAGTCCCTCCCTTTTGTTTGGAAACCAGGGATCCTTCGGGGTTCAGGGCCCTCCCCATGCAGAAGGTAGCCAGAAAAAGTAACAGCAGCTTGGCCAGCACCCAGTGCTCTGTGGCCTGGTGCAGAATCCTCCCCGGGGGACCCAGCAGGCTGGGGGGGGAGGGCGAGGTGAGGGGCAGCTGCCCGAGGTGGGGTTGGATGCTGACGGCTTGGCCCAGTCAGATGGTCTCATGCTCTCAGGTCACAGCAACCTGCTCCAATGCCTGGGACGCGTCTGGGTTGGGGGGGGAATAGACACCGCCCAGCAGCATCACCGGGAAACCGCAGGCACCGTTCTCAGGAGGCAGGGGAGTTCTGAGAGGTGGGTTTGGAGCCAAAGCAGTTTGGTTTAAGAAGCAGTCTGGGCCGATGGGGGGCAGTGTGGTCAGGAGCCCTTAGCCTGTACCCCTTGTCTGTCCCCTCCTTCCTCTCTCACCCGGGGCCACGTGGCCATCTGCAGCCTCAGACTGGTGAGGTGGCTGGGTGAGGAGTGCATACGCATGTGGCTTGGTGGGGTGGCCTCCAGCCATCCACACGCACCGAGAGGTGACCGGTGTCCAGCGGTCAGAGTAGCAGGGCGGCTAGGAGTGCAGGCGTGCTGTGTGACCTGGGTGTTTCGCTTTAGGTTCCTGTGCTTCTGTCCCGTGAGGGGCTGTGACACGCCAAGGCAGGTGCAAGGAAGGAGCCAGGTGGGCAGGCACAGAGCAGTATGGCACGGCGGGCTCCGCTGGTGGCTGCGCCAGGGCGGGTGAGGCAGAAGGGGCGGCGATAGGTGACCCCAGGGCAGAGGCCACAGGGAAGCAAATCCCACACAGCCTGGGGAGAGGGGCCGTTATGGTTGCCTCGTCTCCCCCAGAAGATGTTAAAGCCCCGACCCTCCGTATCCTGAATGTGACCGTCTTTGGAAGTAGGATGACTTGAGTTTAAATGAGATCACCTGGGTGGCCCCTCATCCAATATGCCTGTGTCCTTATGAAAGCGGACATTTGGACGCACGCGCACCCAGGAAGGACGCCTTGTGCAGGCAGAGGCCGAAGTAGGCCAGGGGACGCCAGAGATCGCCAGCAAACAGCACGGAGGGACACCGGTGAGAACGCCAGGGAAGAGACGGCCATCTACAGGCCAAGGACTCCCGGGGTCACCAGGAACGGGGCGGGAGGCCTGGAACAGTCTGTCCCCCAGTTTCAGAAGGACCCCGCCCTGCTGGCACCTGGATCTCGGACTACCAGCCTCCAGGACTGGCAGAAAATAAAGACATTTCTGTTGCTTAGCTGTGGGGTCTGGGGTGCTTTGTCACAGCTGGCCCCCAAACTAAGACTGTGCCAGCTGCACAGCCCTCTAGGAAGTGGGGAGTCCCCTATCACCGAAGTTATGTGAGCAGCCGCCACACAGAAGGTGGCCATCCTGACGCCCGGGTCCCTCCATCCCTGGAGGGCTCCAACCTGAGCATGGCCGGGGAAGCCCCCAGAGAGCTACGACCAGCCCTGCTCCAGGGGCCGGGTCAGATGGAGCTGGGGAAGGTGCTGGAGAGACAGCCGTCACACCCAGGGCCTCACCTGGGTGCTGGCTGGGCTGGCGAAGCTGCAGGAGGCAGGTGTCTGATCCTGGCGACCATCAATCCCGGCCCGAGCAGGTGCACCTGCCACCTCCTGGGGGGGATCAGCCTGCGGAGGGCGCCCCCGAGCTCCCCTCCTCCCTCCCCCTCTGGGTGGGGGGCAGGGCCCGGGTTTTCAGTCTCTCCAATCCCCACCTCCCGCCCCTGTGCTCCCAGGGGCCTCTGCTGAAGGCAGCAAACAAAAACCACAGGGCTCCGCAGTCATCAATCGCGTTTAATGCGTCGCACAGAGGAACTACACGGGCGTATTTAAGACGAACACTTCTCTATCCTCGCTACCCACTGGACGGGCCTCCTCGGTCCAAAAAACTAAGTCTCAAGACACGTCAGCAGCTACCCCTCCCGGGTCCAACCTTTCACATCCTCACATTACGTTTTTTTTAAAAATTTAATTCAATCCATCCCAGAAGAAAACAAACCAACAGAAACGAACCTGAAGACGTTGACATCGCAAGCCGCGCGGAAATGTGCGCAATCCGCGCAAAGTAACCAATATATAAGACGTGTGTTTCACAGTTCGCTTTGTTCATCGATAAAAGAATATAAAAATCTTGTTCAACCCAGTGTTAAGTGTATTAAAATAGATCTGTATCGTACAGCACAGTTTCTCCCGGAGACGTGAAGGTGACAGGAGGGCCCGCGGCGGGCAGGGGGCTCCGGCCAGCTCCCTGCTCTGCGGCCCGGGCCGTGCGTGCGGGTCTGGGCCGTGCTCACGCACACACACACGTGTGCCCGATGCAACTCGGCGCTCACGGCATGACATGCTGGGGGGGGGCCCGAGGCTCCCGGGTGCTTATCTGTTTGTTGTGCTAAGTCCCTCGGGACTGGAGAAGCTGGTGGGTGTGAGGGGCGGGCACAGCCCACCCCGGGGTGCGGGAGCCCTTTAAGCCCACGCGCATACTCTCTGCTCTCAAGGCAAGAAGAGGGGCTCTGGAGTCTCCAAAGGCCGCCTCCCCCACCCCCACNGCCACCGCCCCCTCTTCCTTGCCCACCCTCTGGGTGCCTCGGGTCCCAGCTGCCCCCCGGGGGGCAGTTCCCATTCGTACATGCAGCAGAGACCACTGTGAGCAGAGAAAGACGCCAGCGAGTGCCCCCCCTTCACATTAAATATCTCACAATAAAAACGCCATACAAAAACGTAAGGTTATTTTTTGGCATAGTGTCTGTACTGGCAAGAAACGAGGAGTGGAATACTTCATCGGCTCTTCGAAAGGAGAAAGTAAAAGGCTTCAGTCGGAAGTTGGATTCAACCCAACGCAGAGCACCTGCCCAACGCCTCCCGCACACCGCAGCTCCGTGGCCCCGAAACTCCAGGAGAAAAACGCGCTGACGAGGCGGAGGCGCGGCACGGGCGGGACTTCGGGGCCTGGGACTTGGGCACTGGCAGGGAGCCTGGCAGCGTCCCCTCGGAGCGTGGGCTGGGCAGAGTTTCAAGTCAAATAGCTGCTATTCTTAATGCTAATAATACTGACGGGCGGGTCTGGGCGTTCTGGAAGGTACCTGAGCACCCAGGCCCCGGGCGGGCCCCTGCGAGGGCAGGGCCTAGAGTCCTACCTAGATTCGCTACCCACTTCTGTCCCACTACCTGCACTACTCAGCTACCTCTGCGGTCCCGGCTCCCTCCCCACAGGGCACTGGACAGGCGCTGGCCCTCGCTGCGGGGTGCCCTCACCGCCCCACGGGGCCTGGGGACGGCCGTGCTGGCAGCCAGAGCTGGGCAGTCCCACCACAGCCTGCCCACGGTGCGCCCCACCGGCTGCTGGGGTCCTGTGTGAGCCTGAAGGCCTAGGACTCTCACCCAGCTCCGCCTCCCTTCTTTCCTCTGTCTTTCTCTGTCTGGTTTCATTTCTGTCTGAAATTCATAGTGTTCATGAATTAAGGCTGACAGAACCCTCAGGTCTTGTGAGCAGGGTCCCAGTGACTTTCCATGGGGGTGAAGACGGGTCCCTCTGGGTCAGTTGTGCCCCTGGGGGTGCTGGAGGGCAGAGTGCACGGCTGCTGCTGAGGGCTTGGTCCAGGGCCCAGCCAGCAGCGGGGCGGGGCTGGTGGTCGTCATGGTGACCTGGAGCATCTGCTCTCCCTGAATCAGTCTCAGGAGGGCCCGCAGGCGGTCCAAGGAGGACTGGGTGCCCCTCTGCTGGGCCAGCAGGCTCGTCTTCAGCTCCAGGCATTTCTGTCCGGGGAGAGGGGGGCCAGAGAGAAGGGTCTCAGAATTCAACTGTGCAGGCATCCTGGGCAGCCACCCCTCGCCCCCTTCTCCCAAAGCTGCTCCCTCTTATTGCGGATGCCTGAAAGAAACCAGGCAGGTGGCCTCGGAGAAACAAGGCAGGGGAGAAAAATGGAATTTTTCTCCTGTGTGGCAGCCAGACACACAGGAGTTTATTTGAAATTTAGGGCTAGAAATAGTGCGCAGCAGCGTGGGAACCTCTGCTCATGGCTGCCACCTACCTAGCCGCCCACCTGTTTCTCCTCCTGGACGCAGCTCAGAGCAGCTCTGTCAGCTACTGCACTGCACAGACCTTTAGATCACCAGCCAGCTTTCTCTCTTTCTCTTGCAGGCTGTGTTCTTGTCTTTTTTAGCCTTTATATGTATCAGTCAACACAGTAAAGAGCTAAGGACTAATGCCTCGAGTTAGAGCTTAAACTCCCTGAGACTGTGTCCAAAACTCTAATATAGGAATAATCAGAGTCTCTTCATATTACATTTAAAGAGTTTTACTAGGGCATGGCACTGCTGTACCATCACTGTCACCACCTGCATCATCACCACCACTATGGTCACCATCACCACCACCATGGTCACCATCACCACCATCACCACCACCATCACCACCATCACCATCATCACCATCACCATCACCATCACCACTATCACCACCATCACCACCATCACCACCATCACCATCATCACCACCATCACCACCACCATCATCACCACCACCATCATCACCATCACCACCACTATCACCATCATTACCACCATCACCATTACCAGCACCACCACCATCACCACCACCACCACCACCACCATCACCATCACCACCATCACCATCATCACCATCACCACCACCATTACCACCATCATCACCATCACCACCATTACCAGCACCACCACCACCATCACCATCATTGNCATTACCAGCACCACCACCACCATCACCATCACCATCACCATCATCACAACCGTCACCATTGTCTTATCACCACCCTAGAGAGGGGAAATCATTATGTTCACTTTACACAAGAGGAAACCGGTTCAGAGACAGACAGGGCCTTGCTAAGCTCAGAGCTGAGAAGGAGCAGAGTCAGATGCTTAGTCGCTTGATAACTGTTTGTTAAATGAGTCACAGAGCTACACGCTCCGCCTTCTGCCACTGGGTGATGTTGGCCGGACAGTGATGCTCCGGACCTGCACCTTGTGGTTCTGGGACAGCCCCTCGCCCACACCGCACCCGACCCCAGCGCACCTTCACCGCCGAGGCCAGGCGCCGGTCGCGGTCCTCCAGCTGCTGGTGCTCGCTCTGCAGCTCGCTGCCCCTCTGCAGCAGCTTCCGCTTCTCCTCTTCTTTGACTAGGAAGAGGGCAGGTGAGCAGTGGGAACCCGAGGTCTATGCCTGCAGGCCGCCCCTCCTGCAGGAGCCAGTGGCCCCGGCCGGATGCACAGGGACTGGAACGCCAGCCTCCCACAGTAACTGCGCTGCACACAGGACCAGTCCCAGGGCCCTCCTTCCAGAGTCCTGGCCCAGAACAGCCTCCAACAGGCCCAGAGTGCGCCCAGAGGCCTGGAGGTGGGCTGGAGAGAGGGAGTGGCGCCCCTGCCCATGGCCTACCTGTCTTGTGGGTGACGTAGGAGCGCACAATGGCCAGCATCCCGGTCCAGGGCACGCCTTCGCCTTTCTTCAGGGCCTGGCGGGCAGAGGGGAAGTGAGCAGGCAGACAGGCAGGCCCACCATGCCCTGTGCGTGACCCTGGGGGAGCCACGAGCTCCCTCGGCCGCAGCTCCTCAGCTGGGACAAGGGGACAGGGCCACACCTGTCTCGGGGTCCGGTTCACAGAGGCCGCTCAGCGAGGGCCGGACCTGCTTGTCACCCGGGCCTCAGACAGTGCCTCGCACGAGCAGCCCCGAACTCTTCTTGAATGAACGACTAAACAAATGAGCATTCTGTCTTGTTCCCATGTCCTGGGGACCTGAGAGCCGCAGGGGACAACTCAGGGACCCAGGGAGGCCCCATCATCATGCCAAAGCGGGAAACAACCCCATTCCCTCTCTACATCCCTTCAGAGAGCGGTCACCCCCCAGGCAGTCTCAGTGCAGGAGCTGCCAGCGCCACAGGGGACAGCCCCACAGTGACATACAGCCCCCCTGGGAAGACAGGCCGCAGAGGGAGTGCTTTTAAAATATATATATATGTTTTTATTGGTTTTTAGAGAGCGAGGAAGAGAGAGGGAGAGACAGATAGAAACACTGAGCGGCTGCCCCCCACTGGGGATCGAGCCTGCAACCTGAGCACGCGCCCTGACTGGGACTCGAACCGGCGACCTCTTGGCACATTGTCAGATGCTCAACCCACCAAGCCACACCGGCCAGGCTAGAGGTAGTGCTTCTGGAAATAGGGATAACTCCCCTATGATTTTGGAAGCAGGACATTCGGTAGGAAAGCAGGCTTTGTAAAAGCAACGGACACTGCCCTCACCACCAGCCACACACACGCTGAACACTTGGGAGAGCTTCTCCCAGGTTCTTATTCTGTACACAGGTTTATATTCTACACAGCTTTCCTCAGACAGCTGACGGTCAAACTATACAGCAGCTATAAAGGCTTTTTAAAAAAAACAAACAACTTAATTCCATATAGTGAACAAGTCCCAAAGAATCGCAAGATCTTTATAAAAAAAATCATTTTCAATGATCACGTACATCACTGAGTTCATTTCACCACCTCACTGCTAGGAGGTCAGGCTGGTCCAATCTTTTCCATTTTATAAATGGGGGGG